CTCTGATGACGGAGGCAGTATGACCTCTGAAACGTTGGTTAACATCGACCAGACTACACAGCGCAATAACCCAGAAGACGGATATCTTCACTGTTCTCATCCTTTATCAAGTTACTTCTAGGTTTGTAACACTTCTTAAATCCATTTATATCTCTTAAACATTTTTCAGGAGAAAAATTCACTATAGTTAGCCTAACCACATACATGATGAACGTCTTCAGATTCTGAGAATGATCTATGTTGGATCTTGAAAGTTATTCCGTATTTCGGCAAAAATTTCAGATGTTGTCTTCGGTGTGAATAACACATGGTTGGGTGTTTTGAAGCCGTATATAGAACAGGCGGTACATGACAAGTTGAATGTGATGAATCTGATAGGCAGAACAGAAGAGTAGGCTGTTATCCAATTGGTGATAAGCACATGATTGAGGAAAAGAGGTGATGAAAAGTTATATAAAGACGCGTGGTGATGAGAAAAAGCGATGCAAGCAGTTTTGGTGACCATGTGACTCAGGAAAGGTGATGATGAAAGGGTTTTAATGACTATTTGGGTAATAATTCCATACAGTATGTTTATAAGTAGCATAGATAACATGACACTAATTTCAAAATACATTACTATTAAATTAATATACCAAGTAAATAACAACACACATCCACATAAGAATACATGCATATATGTTATTTTCCATATGTCTAAAAGTTTATACTCATGACCATACTTGAAATTTACACACATGATTGCAATAGTATAAATTACAAAATTAAAAATTCATCATTAGAGTGGAAGGTGTGTGTCGAAAGAAATTATTTTTAATTCCACTTTAAATTGTTTACTCTTAGCTGATATATGTTTATTAATTAGATTTTTATACTTCTGGTATTTGTACCAACTGCGCAGTATGAGGCAAATGGGGTACTAGTTGTCAGATTGCCCGCTCTTAATTTACTGGTCTGCAAATGAGACTTTGCAGAGCACTATTGAGTTCACTCAGTGATATTCATGTATAATAATGTTTTCACAGACTCAAAATGAGGAACTGTACATGACATCTGATTGTTTCAGACTGATCACAACCGCACGATGCTATTTCAAGTTGGTCGCATCGATTTGAGGCTCATCAGTCCAGACAGAAAGCAAATTCTACTGCACAAGCACCTGAAAGATGTTGCTAGCTGCATCCAGGTACTGATGGGCTGGAGGTTATGACCTGGAATATGTACGTGAAAGTGGGTTGAAAAGTAATGCCTCCTCTTAAATAACACGTGAATTGGAAGGAATCTTTTTATGAAACAAAAACGTATACAAAATTTAAAGTTTATTCTTCAAAATTATACATTATTTTCCTGCAGTTACCTTCTGCTTCAATGCACTGATGCCAACGATTAATTAATATTTTTTTAAATCTATTTTTATAGAGCTCTGAGTTTTGTTTGTGCAAAAAGTTGTCTCACAGTGGGCTTGCCACATAGATGTTCCTTGAGCTTAGGGAAGAGATGAAAATCGCTCAGTGCAAAGTCTGGGCTATATGGGAGATGAGGTAAGAGGGAAAAACCCAGGCATTTAATCGCTTCTCGTGTCTGAGCACTCAGTGTGGCGACTGCATTTTGGGATGTTGCTGATTTTATGGAATGAGGGACAACCATTAAATCTGAACATTGTATCGAATCCTTAAATAAGTTGACAAAAAGATTCAAAAGAGTTGATAACAAAAACCACACAATCCTTCAACATAACGCTAGATCTCACACCAGTACTTGAACACGAGAAGCGATTGAATGTCTGGGTTTTTCCCTCTCGCATTATTCCGCATACAGCCCAGATCCAGCAAAGTGATTTTCATCTCTTCGCTTAGGTCAGATGAAGAAGTGAAGTCTGCTGTGAGATAATTTCTTTGTGAAAACTCATAGCTTTACAAAAATTTATTTAAAAATTTAGTTTATAATTGGCATAAGTACATTGAAATAGAAGGTGACTGTAGAAAAATAATGTATAATTTTGAAGAGTAAGCTCTAAGTTTTGTCTATGTTTTTGTTTCGTTGAAAAATTCCTTCCCATTCGTGTTTTAATTAAGAGGAGGCAATACTTTTCAGGCCATCCACATAATTTTATATTTTAATGTTATTGAACATGGATCACAGCTCTGTCCAGCTGGCTTCTCCATGATGGGGGGGATGGGGGATACCCTGTTTCCATATGATAAATGTTAAGTCTGGTAACGTTCACATAACCTCTCCTCATTTGAGTCTTTTGTGTACATTTTTAATTGATCAAGTGAATACAGTGTGCTTACGTGCTTACACAACTTGCACTAATTTTATCATACTCAGTATGATTCCTGTGCATGTTATGACCTACATACTTCTCCACTGCAGTAGATATGAAAATTTATGTCTGTTTGTTCACCGTCCATTTAGTTTTGAGTGGACATAATTAATAATTGAAAGCTGTTTTGAGTTTGTCTTTGGTAGCCAGCATTATGGCAGGGCCTATTTAAATGATGAATATGAGTGATGAAGTATTTTGTGAACATATGTAATTATATTTGTGGGAGTCAATTTATTGGTCGCCTTCAGTGTACTAGTGGTTAGCGTGCTCGCCACTGGACCCAGGGTTCGTGGGTTCAAACCCGGCCGAGGTTGGTGGATTTTTAAGGGTGATAAAAATCCGTAGCACAACTTCCTTTGGAGGGGAAGTAAAGCCAGCGGCCCCATGTCGTAGATTTACAGTGTGTAAAAGAATCTTACTAGCATGAACGAGATGTTTCGTAAGCAAAATTCAGCGGCTATTTCTCACCCAAGTCTCTCCTGATTCAGTACTAGATGGCTGTGGCAGTTAAATCAGGATTGAGTAGAAATTGTGCAGAGTCAGTGGGCTGGTCACTCGCTACTCATAAATGCACGCTTAAGACAAAGAAACCTCCAGCACAGGAGGAGCCCAAGGCTTGACTTCAGGCTGTTGCGCCATAGAAGAAGTCAGTTTATTGATGATTGTCACATAAACATAAAAATTTTGTCAAGTAGTCATCAAGTTCAGCTCTGGTGATGAACGTAATGTCCACAACAAAAATGACCTGCAGCATGGCTCATGTACAAAACTTGGCACTGAGCAGTGATGATTTCCATTTAGTGCCAAGTATGGCCTGAATGTTGATATAGAAGATCCTGATAACCTACAGGAATATTTTGGATTGTTTATGGCATCTAAAATTGCTGAACTAATAAGCAGAAGAACAAAATGCTGTGCCTAAATATTTTTTTGCGACGCATACGT